GCCAGTTCTATATAGTGCTGGCCCGTCCGGGAGGCTGCTCTTGCCAATGCCGAAACGTGCCAGACGCTGGCGTTGAAGTTCAAACAAAGGTTGTCTTGAAACAGGCCCAAAAATGGCCTGTTCTAAACCCTGGTCTGGCGCCTGAGTTTCAGGGCAGGTCGACTTTATGAAGGCCTGAAAATGGCCCTCGTTTTCAGGCTTTTAGGCTGAAACGATACAGGGCCTGGAGGGCCCTTATTTTCCGTCTGGTCGGGCCCTGCAGGCCCGTGTGGATGCGCAGTATGCCACACTCCATTATTCAACCCCCCCGTTTTCGGCAGCACACCTCCCTGCTCACTGCTGCTCTGCGATAACGCAGCTGATGTTTGCTTGCCATGTGATCCGCATTCCCTGTGTGTCATCAGCATCATGAGGGTATGGTCCATGCAAGTCTTTGTCTCTGCACTTCTGTTGACAGTCTCCTGCCGGCTTCACTTATCAGAGTGCAAGTGTGAGTATCACACACACACACACACACACACACACACACACACACACACACACACACACACACACACACACACACACACACACACACACACGCGCGCGCACACCCCTCTACAATTTCAGTCTGTGTGCGCTTGTGTTCCTAGCATGTAGGAGCTACGTAGCCGGCGACACCTGTCTAGGTCGGGCCATTGGATGCAAAACTGTGACTGCGAGAAGTGGATGCTGTGCTTCCACAGTCCATACCCGAACTGGTCCTGTCCGGTCTGTAAGGGTCGCCACTTACCATAGGCAAGGGCTGCTCCTCAATTCAGAATCTTATGCAACCCAAACACTGACTGGACCCATGTGCCATTCTCGAGTAGTTTGCTCCAGCGGTGAGTATTTAGAACCCTGTGAGAACTCCACCTCCTATTTTCCCCTCCCCCTCCCCCGCCCCTTCCGCCCCCCTCTCCCCCGCTCCTCCCCACTCGCAAGCAACCCCGTCTGTAAGTGTGGTTTGAGTCAGTACTGACATAGATCATTTTAAATTGCGCTTGTGTCATTCTGTTCTTTGTGAAAAGAAAAAGAAGAAAAATCAGAGAAAATTTTCTTAAAAACTTTGGGTTGTTGGCCCCACTTGTGCTTCCCTCCCAGCCCACAAAAAAAAAGAAGAATTCAAAACCTGCCTTTCTGCTCCAGAATCCCTTGACAGACTCCACCACCACCATCACCAGCCTGTTGCTAAACTTCGTCTTAAGACTGTGTTCCTCTCCCCCCCTCCCCTCCTCCCCCCTCCTCCCCCCTCCTCCTCTTCCCCACTGGAAATTTAGTGTCTCAAAAACTAAGACTGTGTTCTTTACTGTGCAGCTGCTGCGGAGATGGAGGTTGAACAGTCAGCAATGGCCCTCGATAATCTTGACGCACGGGATGCTGAACATCAATACTTAACTCTCCAAAGAAAGAAATCGGAGCTGTTGATGCCATGGATGACTGGTGTGTCGCCCGCTCTTCCGTGGCTGAAGAAGTCAGGAGCATCTATTTCAGGTCAGGTTCCTCCCCCCCCCCCCCCCCCCCCCCC